TAACTGACAAGGGACGTGACTTATGTTGATTAACATTGTGCTATATAGTACACACCAGGAGACGCAACCTTACTCCCTAAGCCACTAACACCAGGTGACTTCTGAAAGCACTTGCACACATGCACCCTTACCCTTCAGGCTTTACACCTTTCATTAACACCGCCTGCCGATTCTTTATTCCCAGTACCTATTTAGCAGGAGGCCTGGTAGGAGATTATAAAATTGGAGGTGTGCATCAGTTATTACAGTGTAGGGTTAGGCACAGCAATGCAGCTAAGTCAAGGAGTAACAGGTTAAGAATGGAAAGATAAGCTGCAAAGAACAAAAACCAGGAACTCATCACACCCAGAACCAACATCTGGGCTATTTGGTTACTGGATTTAGGGAGAATTCAGTCCAAACAGTGGGAAACAAACTGTGAGGATAATAAAGAACAAGTAAGACTTAAGGCTTTAAAAATGATAGCTGAAGTCAAAATGAGGAGGTGGGAGGAAGTTGCAAAGTCAGTTAGAATAGGAGCATGAGGACTTTGTATCATCTTCCTTCTGAATTATCACTTTTTAAAATAATAAGTAATAAAAATACCAAATGTAAAACCCAATTAACATCAGACTTCTGTTAAAAGTATTTTCAGATTAATATATATTTCTAGATCTTGGCTGGATCTTAAAAACCCCAAAACATTTCTTCAGTCAACTTACAATTGTTGCATAGAAGGGACAACGATTTCTTTTTATCCTCCTCCTCACTCTCTTCTCCTTTACCATAAGAATGTAAGTGTAAGGCGTCCTGTCTTACACCGGCTTCTAATATCGGGGAATTATATTCTCTTAAGTCCCTGGAATTTTTAAAAATTTCAATGAACTAGGAAAATCAGTGAAGAACAACTCATTATGGTTTAATTTCAAAATGATTTTCCATCTAAGCTCTATTGTAATCTCTCAAAGAGTAAGTCAACCCACGTCTAGGATAGGCATAGGGTCCAATGACCTTGAAATGATTTCCAAAGTTGAAGCACACACAAACTTAGGCCTGGGATGGAGACTAGATTTGTAGAGAGGGGGTTCATGATCTTTTGATTCATGATCACATCATTATCAGAGGGGGGAAGTTTTCCCCTTTAAAAGATGAATAATAAGATATTTTTAAGTTAAGATCACATCTTTTGGTTCATGATCACATCATTATCAGAGGGGGGAAGTTTTCCCCTTTAAAAGATGAATAATAAGATATTTTTAAGTTAAGATGACCAAAAACAAGCTCTCCTTCGATGCATATTATTTGCTGCACTGTAATGTAACTTGTGAAACCGGCTGAGATCATTATGAAACCTTTTGGGTTTGCTGTAAGTTGCAGGAATGGTGCAAGGCACAGGTAATGCTACAGTAAAGGAACAAGAATGTCCCGCCCTCGTGGAGTTCCTATTCTACGGGGGGGGATGGAAAATAAGATGCACCATTGAGCTGTACAGTGTGTTGGGTGATAAATGCTTCGACAAATAGAGCAGGAAAGGAGAACACGAGATCCGGGGGCTTGTTCACTGTAAATAGGAAAAGAGAGACTTTGTAAGAAGGAGCATTTGAACAAAGACTTACGCGAGATGAGGGGAATCGCCATGCGGGTGTCCAGGAGAAAGCAACAAAGGGAACAGAAGAGCAAAGTCTTAAGGTGGAGTTGTGCTTGATAAGTTCCTGGAACAGCGAGATGGGCCACTGGGCAACAGATTAGTGGAGTTAAGGAGAGATTCTTAAGAGATGGTCAAAGAAATTCAAGATCACAGGTGAGAGGACCCTCAGAAGTGAAAAATCAAGGCATTGATCAACTATGTTTACATTGCAGTGTAGAGATGAAAACACCCAGTCAGAAACCACACTATTCTGCTACACTGGCCCTTAGTCACTTTGTATCAGTCCTTCTCAGACACCAGTGTAAGGACTTCGGTTTTTATTCTTGTAAAGCGTTTTCAGAGATTTAAATGATCACGCTAATATTTTAAGAGGCTCATTTCTTGTGAATGTTTTGAAAACTGACTTGAGAAGCTAAAAACACAGAAGCAAGGAGACCTGTTTACAGAACAGCAAAACATTTCAGGTGAAAAATGCTGACTGCTCGGACCAGCGTAGGGATCACAGGGAGAAGCACAGTCAGAGTGCAGATATATTTTGATTGAGGCCGGTAGTGTGGCTGAGCTGCTTAGAAAGGCTTCGAGAGAAAGACAGGAGAGGGAAGAACGACTCCAAGGATTTACACTCTAGAAACTGGAAGGCTGATGTCTACACTTAGTGAGATGAGGAAGCGGAAGAAGCTGCAGGTTCAGGGTGGTGAAAACGGAGAAATTTGGTATTTAAATGTCAAACTCGAGATCTTTTGGACACCCAAGTAACATGTTAGATATGTGAATGCAAAGCAAAGGATAGGGCCAATTTTTTCCATGAATCTCAGACACAATGAACATTTAATCATCTAGCAATGAAACTTCATAACCACATTTTTAAAACTTTTAGATAATACCGTGTGAACCAACATGCAAATATTTCAATCCTACGCACCTAAGTGAACTCTGCTTATAGAAGCAGCACAGGGCATTTTCTTCTTCCAGGACAACAGACAGACCTGTGTGCTGTTTCTGTCTGATACTTATATGGCCACGATCAGAAGAAAGAAAAGGGAGAAAGGGATCACACTTATCTTTGTCCAGGAAGCAGGGTGCTTAGAGGTAAGTGCACCTCTGGGTGCTGTCGCTTTGCAGAAACTCAGGCTGCATCAGAGCCCTGATCTCCCATCCTTCTGGCTGCTCTCCTTTGGCCAGGTCTTTAACTCCTGGTATCCGAAACCCTCGGCATTCAGAAATTGTTTTCTGTGTTGTAATTAAAAATAGTTTCTCCTTGGTCCTTCCGAAGAAAGAACACACATTTTCTGCTCTCCCTGGGTACTTCTGAAGCTGCTGCTCCAAAGTCGCCTGAGGAAGCAGCTGCACACAGGATCCTGACACACTCATGGCTGCGCACGAGGAAACCCTCCGGGTTGGGGCAGAGTTGTACGTCTACTTCAGAGGATTCGCGTAGATGCTACTGAGCTCTTTCACCTCACAGGGAACTTTTCATCCACATGATGAGCAAATGATGCAAAGTCACAGAATATACAAATTCATGTTTATTTAGTCAGTATTCCTTCTTAAATCTGGCTGAGTTTTTTTTTTAATTTCACTTAACATTTTGACCTAGAATTATTTTTAACAAGATTTATTTAAATCATCATGGGACTTTTTGGTAATTCAAACTTCTAAATTTAGTCTCTTCACAAATCCCCAACAGTTCGGTGTGGGAAGCTGAGAATCTTAGCTCGCCCAGTTGATGATAATTCTATGCATATTTAACTTAAAAGTTAAATCCCTCACTTAAAATGTCTTTTGAAAATTCGTCTAGAAGTTATAGAGTACCGACCGCCACTTTGATGAAACAAATTATGTAGCTTCCACTTATGCTCAAAATACAAATATCAGAAAATTTCAGGTATCCTAACCTAAATAATCAATCATTTCTTTCAAATTAAAATTATTGTCAGGGGGCTGAGGATTTAGCTCAGTGGCACAGCGCCTGCCTGGCAAGCACGAGGTTGTGAGTTCGATTCCCGGTACCAGAAAAAAAAAAATTATTGTCATTTTTAGGTTCTGTATTAGAAATCTCCAGCTGACAGATGTAATGAGTGAAGTACCTCCAAATTCGATGTCCACTATATGTAAAATAAATGCTTATTAAAAACAGAAATGTACACACACTCAAATGTTTCATATTGTAATATTCTATTGGGATGAGTCCCACAAGTCTCTTGGTACTGTGGAACAGCACATAAATAATGACATCAGCTAGGCCAGATAATAAGTAGTGTCCTTAGTGGTCTTCACAAACTTGTATAATTTTCTTTTTTTTTTTTTTGGTTTTTCTCCAGTACCGGGAACCGAACTCACGACCTTGCGCTTGCCAGGCAGGCGCTTTTGCCGCTGAGCTAAATCCCCAGCCCCTGTATAATTTTCTTTCAGACAACTTTTAAAACAAAAATTATGTGGTTTTTGAGGTTTTACTTAGCTAAGTAAAAAGCTGGATTATAAACAAGACATTGCTTTAAACATTGTAATACATACGCCAACTGCAGTTTATTGTAATTGTTCAAACATTTGGGGATTGGTTCATACTTAGTAGGCTTGTCAAAATTTACTTTGATTTTTATCTAGGTCTATTTAATTGACTAAAAGAATAATTTTGATAGAATCAATGTACTTATTAAGAACAGAAATATTTTTTGTTGAGGCTTGAAAATAAATCAAATACTGACAAAACACCTTTTAAACTGCTAACAACCATCAATATGTGCTCTAAAAGTGCATTATTGTATCTACAGTTCTTTGGCTTCTAAATGTATTTTTAGTTTAGTAATATCATTTGCATTCCATCTTTTTGGAATAAAAGGTCTAATTACAGTGTTTCAATATATAGAATTGCTGTTTGATACTTTCCCTACAATCCCGGGGAATTCAGTCCCCTATTTACCAAATAACGGACTTCATAACATTATTTTTATGTGTGGAGTTAGCCTCCAGATCCTTAGAGTAAAATTTTCAATTTGTGAAACACGGTATGTTTGGTAACCTGCTTAGGCTGCGATCTCATCACGTTACAAAGGCAAGGTTCCTCTGTAGTTCTACTGCCTTCTCCCCGTCAAGTAACAAATAGCGTCAAGCAGTTCCAGCAGCATGTGAGAAAGAAGCTTCTTTTTCAACTAATACAAAATGCCTTTTTTCATTACTGAAGGTAATATATGCCCGGAATATTTGCCCAATTTTCTTCTGTTCCCATACATCTGTATGTAATCCACTTATTCTTGAACCATCTAAGGGCCTCACAAGTTTAAAATACAATAGTATGTTTTAAGCTATTCATCTATACAATGGAATATATGTTCATGAGCTTATTGATGTTACATGTGTAAACACCATATCTAAATTTCAGACACCATACCAGAACTCTTCTCATTTTATTTTGTGTTAAAATCTTTCTGGAATATTGCCATGGCTGATGGCAACTTTTCAATGAATCATTAATAAATATATATACAAAAAAGAAAGAGACATTATTAACCAACCAAACAAGGTAGACCTTAAATAAAACAACACAAGAATGTGCAGCCTCTCTGCAGATTTTCTTGATGTAGCTTCTTCAAAGGATCACAGACTTTCCATAAACCTTTAGGTTGTTTGTAGAAGCAACAGAAGCCTGGGTCTGAGGACCTGCTGCCTGGGCTCCAAAGGCTTCTTTAGTGAGGAGTCAAAAATATGTTCCCCAAAGTCTAAAACACCACTCCATCTTCTTGATACAATAGAGAGAACTGTTTGCTCAGGAATATTAACGAAACTGTAAATGTTTAACAATATGAAGAAGAGTCTATTTGCTTGACTTTTCTGTTTATGAATGTATGAATTTTAATACTGTAAACAAGCACTTTATATGAAAAGACTTACAGAATGCCTCTGCCTACATTTATGAAGCTATTAGTGAAATAAAAGAAATCATGCATGCCCATTTCAGAAACTTGCTGGAAAACTATTCAATACTTGTACATCATATTAGCATAGTGCTAGGTTTGTAAATAGCATGGATTAAAGTTACTGTATCAAATTTACACAACAGACTTAATACTGGATGATAATTTTCAGAGCAAACCCTCAAATGCCCTTCTTACCCTTATAATACAGGTGCATATACTTTTTAGAAGACAGCACAGATAAAATCTATATGCCAGTATCACTGCTTTATTCCATTTTCAAAGAGGCACTTCTTCATATTTCTCAGTATATATTTAATGATAATCTCTTTTTTAAATAGTATTCAAAAATCTGTGCAAATATCACTGACAACATGATGGGGGAGGTGGTATTTTGAAACCAGCTTCGGAAGCAGCTGCCCTAAAACAACTGAAAGAAAGAAATGAGAAATAGAAGCTGGTGCAGGCAGGGTGAGAGAGATGTACACAGAGATTCACTGCGGTAAAGCCTTTGCCTGGCATGCGCAAGGCCCTGGGTTTGACCCCGGGATGGAGAAAAACAGAAAGTAATAAATGAAATAATGGACTATTCCAAATCAATGTGGTAACTCTTTCCACAAATATCAAGTAACAACTGGAAAAGTAAAGTGTAGCTCTCAAAATAAAGAGGCAAAGTCATTAGACATGTCCTGGGTGTGTGTATGAGTGGAACTGTATTATTGCAGTTAAAGGAAAAAATGTAAACGGATGGTCATTTACCACGTCATTCAACAACAGAGGGGAAAAATGTCTGAACAGTGCTAGCTAGCTGGTGCTGAGGGTGAAATTATAAAGTTGAATGAATATCCCTTGATGACACAGCTTCAAAAACATTGCTGGACTGAACTAGGGACAGCAATTTCAAAGTTATTATCATAATTTTTTCATTCACTTTTAAATATTTTACACAACCTAGCCAATTCTCAATTGCTCATCTGAGAAAGAGCAGACACGCAGCAATGCCAATGCAAAATGTGAAGAAGTGGGTTAGGGAGACAGTGTAAACGACACTAGTTATTTTGACGTATGACACTAACTGTATGACAGAGGGAAGGAAGTGTCTAACGCTGGCTGACATCTGAAGCTGGTAGGGTTCTGAGAACCGGCAATAGATGATGTACATCAACAGAAACTCATGGGAACAAACAGCTAATTTCCCTTCTGTACTTAAATTGTTTCTATTTTATTCCAAAGCATCACATTGCTTATCACACAGTTATGTAGAATAAAAAGCCAGCATGGTATGCATGCTGGTTAGCCACAAACATCAGGTCTATCAATGACTAGTTCTTATAAGAACTGCAACAACTTTCAACCCCCAAGTGTTTCGAATCTCTGTAACAGTGAAGAGAGTGCCTCCTCTTTGCCCTTGATGGGAAGTTGCCATTCTTAAAGTATCTTCTATTCCTATTGATTTGTGCACTATAACAAACCTATTTCACTGAATCACTGAAGGGAATACTGGTCTGATTGGAAGATTTTTGGCTGCACATTTATAACCAGCATCTTTGAAGTTCTCATCCAAAAGTATGCAAAAGCTTTTATAGGCTTTTACTTTTTTGTTTTTTGGTTTCCAAGAATTCTTGGAGAATTTTTTTCCCAAAGAACATGTTCATGCTAAATTCTCAATCTCAAAATTCATGTGCTGATTAAAATCTTGCTTTTTCACACTGGGATTTAAAATTTAAAATAGGATTTAAAACTTGTACTTGTGGAATTTCATGGAATAAAACTTTAAACAATGTACAGATTTCATGTCTTTTAACAGCTCTTCTATTTTAGATATCCTCACATGCTTTCAAAATGCTTCCAGAGGAATGTATTCTATCGAATCTTTTCTGAAAAGAAAATGTGAAATACGGAAACACTAGAATTTATTTTGAGAAAAACTATTTTATTGTCACCTGATACCTACACTATATTGAGATGTGTTGCTTATTTTAAGGAAAAATATATTTCACTAAAGTGGCACATATTCAAGATAACATTATAAAGTGTGTTGGAATTCCCTTAAACAGGTACAATAAAGTCTGTTCCATTGTTTCTTATTTTCATTAACTTCAGTGGTTTTCCAGAGCTGGTATCCCATGTAATATCTATAACGTCTCTAAAAACATTTAATATGTATGATTTACTTTATAAGCCTGGTACATGAGGGATTAGAGCACAATAAAAAATATGTATGCTGTGTGTGAATATGTGTATTTTTAGCAAGTGCACAACAATTAGAAATTAGCCCCTTATTTGTAAGTGGCAAATTTTACGTTCAGAATTGGCTGTCAAAACACGGTTCACATATAAGTTCTCACTTCCTTGATCACAGAGTTTTGGAGGGAAATGTTTTTAAAGTACGTCAGACAGAATACATTAGGGTTGTGAAGACAGCGGTGCAGAAAGAATCCACTCTTTGAGAATTCCAAAGCTTACATGGGAAATGCATCTGCCCACAGGACTCTGGGAATTAAACAGCAGTAACAAGTTCGCGTGTTTCCTCCACCTTCCCATCTGCCACCCTCTGGGTCCCCAGTGCAAAGCCTGCAAGAGTCCGGGGATACCTCTTCTCTGAAATGAAAATCCCTACATCAGACCGTGACGGTCACCTTATCATTTCCTAGAACAGTTTTGCTCCCTGCGTCCATGAAGTTGCAGAGGAAAAGTGTGAAACAATTCACTATGACAGCAGAAATATGGCTTCATAGGACACAGGGCTACATTTAGTCAGTGTTGATAGTTTATGCATATTTTCTGCTTTTTCTTAAGTTCATATCACTGGCTCAAACTTTTATGTCAATCTTTCCCAAATTCAGTTACTACCAAAATTTACAAACTTGACATGAAATTACATTGTATTTACAAAGAACTTGGCACTTACAGAATAAATTATTGACCTTTTTTTAAAATCCAGCCCAGGGCACCCACGGTTCAGGCCAATGGGAAAGCCAGGTGCCTTATGACATATTCTGCTACATTAATAGGAATAAATAAGTTTCCAGCTCATCCTGACTTCTCTACAGCGCTGTCCCTGCAGCTGCAAACCAGGAGCTTCCACTTCGACTCCAGCCGTGCGTGCGGAGAAGTCATCAGTCCAGAGAAAGCAAAGGCTGCATGTTCTCTTCCTCATGCTTGTCCATGCGCTTCAGTACCATGGGGTCCACCACAGACTGGGACCTGCAAGACAGAAGCACAGTCAGGTCGCCCAGCGATGACCCAGACGACGGTCGCCCCTGTGTTTCCCTTGGGCACATTCCCTGTGGGCGGGGAGCATCTTCATCAAGGGATCTGTGAGCTGTGGATGCTGCACAGAGAGACACTTAGGGTGATGTTTTGCATCAGAGCAAAGAAACAAACCCCTCTGGCTTCTTGGTAGCAAAGTGAAGGGTTCCAGGCTGACAGTAATACACATACACACTCCTCGCCCCAACTGCATGAGCTTTCCCTTCTGAGATATGGAGGATTCCCATGTAAAGTAGATCCCTTTCAGTACAATACCGCCAAACAAACACAGCGCTGCAGTGAAGTGGTGGCTGTACGCTGAATGGAAGTGGGAGGCGCTATAACTTGTTATAATGTTGTAAGTTGAATAGAAACGATGCTTGCCTTTAAAATATCTGTAAAACATCAATAAGAATATGCCTTTTTCCTTAACCATTTTTTTTCCAGTACCAGGAATCGAACTCACAACCTTGCGCATGCCAGGCAGGCGCTGTGCTGCTGAGCTAAATCCCCAGCCCCTTCCATAACCATTTTAATGACGACATCAACAAAAATTGTTTTGTTATTGTTTAGTTGGTTGGTTGGTTTGATTTTTTGAGACAGTCTGGCTACGTAGTTCAGGCTGGCTTTGAACTATGTACCCTAGGTTGGCCTTGAACTAGTGGTGATCCTCTTGCCTCAGCCTCTTGAGTGCCAGCATTATAAGCATCATGCTTGGCTTAAAAAATTAAAATCTGGATAAGATTTCTGTTCAATTGCCCACTAGGCAAATGAACTCAGCTTTACTCTTGAAAGCTGCAAAAAATGGTTAAGTACTTTTTTAAGAAGTTAAAACTCATGTTTAGGCAGAAACACTCTATAATTAGGGAAGCACATCATTTGAAAATCCCTTGTACATGCTCTGAGAGCTGGTGAGAATTCCACCCCATTATTAGTGAGGAATCCACATGGGAGCAGGAAGGAAATACACTACCACAGAGGCAGGATCTGCAGTCCTGACAGCAAAGAGGACGTCCAGAGAGCAGCTGCCCTTCTAAAACCCTCCCAGGAGTGAGTTCCTTCCCTACGCTGCATCCCACCCAGCTGGTTTTGGTGTGGGAGATGCCTCTCCACAGACCTCACCAACTTCCAGGAGGAGGCTGCACGCTGATACTACCGCACAAGCTGCCAGTCAAGGCATCCACTACGAAAACCGCCAATTGGGATGAACTGACAGTGACTCACCCATTTACATTAACTTAAATTTGTTTCCAAAGAGCAAGTATGGTAAAATAAAGGTGAGAGTATTTTTAAAAAGACCTTGTTTTCCAGGTAATTTTCACCATTTTAAGTGGGTACTCAGGGCTATCTCAGAAAGGGACCGACTGTAGTTGTGTGTCCACGCGTGCTCAGAGAGGCAGCAGGACCAGGGCGGCACAGAGTCCCACAGGGCGATGCAGAGTTAGACGTCAGGGCCTTAACTTCTCCATGGTGAATCCTTTCCATACTGAGGGAACCTCAGGACGTGTGAGGCATTCAGTACATCCAGTAATGTGGGTAACGGAGAAAGAGGTTCTTCACTGGAACGTGATGAGCTCATCCTCACACACTGTGTATCTATCACTTAAAGGGTGAGCTCTATCGGGATCATATTCAGTAGGTGAATGCCCAAGCTCTTTACCCAGCACAAGCAGCAGGCCTTAGATATGTGCTTGCATTCTGCTGAAACAGGCACACATACACATACACACCCACGCACACACATGCATTCCTTTAAGTTGGTATGTACCATGATTATTAAAAATGTATTAGAAAGTATATAGAATTTTGACAACACACTTTAAATTAGCTCACACTGTCACCCAAGCTGGGCTTACGTTCCAGGTTTGTTCTTCTCTGGCACTGCAGAGAACAGACCGTCTGATGAGTGCTGCTCCCACATGCAGAATACTTCAGAAAAAGAAAAAAGCCATGCAGAAACCTATTGTGAGCAAGATGCATTTGGTACTTAATGGCTCCAAGTGTCCTGTTATCTATTCCTGTCTCTGGCTCTCTCTCACAGGTGCCGTGGTGGCGGGCTATCGCTAACTCCTCAATCACCTCAACCCCCGCTGTGTGTGATGAGGCACTTGTCCTTCGTTTTGAAAACCATTAAGCGAAGTTCAGCTATCCAGCACTCACGTATCCATTTATTACGCACCTCCAAAAGGCCCAAGTGTTCGTGGGGCTAGGGTGTGGAGAGTCGTATTTCACTTGTGGTTGCTATCATAACAATTACAGGTCCTGTGGTCATGGGAAGGCTACTCAAACTTCCTAAAATTATGTTTTCTTGTTGATTATACAGGAACAGGGAGGCTCAGAGGCAACGATGCAGGCCTGAACCCCAGCACAAATTCTGGCAGATGGTGAACGGCAGTGGTTAAGAAAATGGCCCAGAGTACATAAGAAAAAGATTACCCGTGAAATTACATTGCTACTTTGTAGTTATGCAAAGAGTGGAAGTCACTTACCTCCCTGTGTCTTGTATTCCTCATCAATAAAATGAAGAGTACTTACTTATGAACTGCTTCAAGAAGCAAATGAGTCAATAAATACGGATCACTACAACAGGGTTGATCAGAGAGTAATAATGTGTTCAGTGTCACACAGCAGAATCAGTTCAGGTCCTTGTAGCCCACTGGCATTGTGGCTCACTGCAACTGTTATGTGCCAGGTACTTTGCTAAGAGCTGAGAGCGTAAGGGAGAAGACACTGCTGCTCTGAGCACCAGTCTACTGAACCCTACCTTTGTGTGACGCTTCCCTCCTTCCACACATTCACACGGGAGGAGAAAGTCATCTTCTACGTGAATGAACACACCCAAGGGAACAGTTACCACCAGGCTTTGGAGAAGAACCGATGTGGTTCCCTCTCAATGTAAGAGTGATAAGAAACTGACAAAGGCAGAGGCCAGGGGGAATCAGAGCAGAATGCAGGGACCACTGTGCCGGTCCTTGATGGGGAACTGTGATTCCTGGACTCGGAAAAAGAGAGAATCCACAGAAACAACTTCTACAAATTGCATTTACACAAGTTCTTCAGTATTTTGTTAACAGAATTATAAAAGCTTCATCAAAGCAAGAAAGGATATAGAAAATTCAAATCAACACACATCAGAAACATGAAACGGGGCTGGGCAGTGGCCATGTCTATAGGAGGACAAAAGAGCCTAGTTATTTGGAAAAGAGAATAAAAATCCCAAATTATTCTAAAAGGTACAGAGACTGAGCCAAGTCTACCAAGATGGTGCTGACCCAGTTGAGTAAGGTCCTTGGGGAGAAAGCTAAATGCAGAAGCATTTAAGGAGGAGGGTGTGGACTGACAAATAAAGAGCCTCCCCGGGATTGGTCCACTCAGTCTGCCGGCAGTGGCCTTCAGGACAACAGCAGGAGCGCCAGCAACTGCAACCCCGCAGTGACACAGGGTCAGACTGCACCTACCAGGGTAAGAACAGCAAGCTGAAAGGCAGCCACTGACAGGAGTGCATGGCTTCTGCCATTCAGCCGGTTCCTACTGAGCCCCCCATGGGCCCAACACTGCTGTCTGCGCGAGCCTCCAAGAGAGGACAGACAGTGCCGCCAGTCTCCGTGAAGTCGCCCCTGAGGAGGGGTGAAGTCAAATTTCATAGAAGGAGCCATTTCACAGCCTGATACGCGCCTTGAGGGAAGTAAAACAAAGGCGTCCAGAAGACAGGGAAGCCAGAACGAGCAACCGGTAGAGAGGACTGAGTCCGCGTGGTCAAGAGAGACCAAAAGAGTCCTGAGAGGTGATCTGTGCCTGAGACCGGCCCTCCACGGAGTCGGGAAACGAGCACTCCAGGCAGCAGGCATGAGGGCAAGGAGCCCGGGGTGGGAGCAGCTGGAGAGGCCGGAGGGGCAGAGCAGGGTCACCGTGTCCACGCGCAGGGTCGGCTCGCGTAGCGCCTCGCAGGCTGCAAGAAGGAGTTGATGGCATTCACTGCACAATCCTCAGGCATTTAAAATTTAAATCAGAGGCAGGAAATGACCTGATTCCATGTGGCTGTAGCGAGAAATATGCTCATGTGTGGAGACCACATGAGGGGACCCGTCACAGGAGGAACGGCTGCAAAGGAAACCCTGTTGGCTGGCAAAGGAGACAACTAGGGGACATCAAACGGCACGCTTCTCCTGTCCTTCTATAGCTCGCTCCGGAGGGAGGGAGCTTAAACATCACCAGGAAGAGCAACTTGATATCAACGATGTGAAAAGGTCTGGAGCTGGCAGCTGGAAACCTGCTCTGCTAGACGCAGGCTCTGATTTTGAGGATGTAAGATCTCTAACAGGACTACTGTGACACTAAGTGAGTTACTCCACCAAATGCCACCTACTCTGGCTCTTACTCATGATAGGTGCATAGTAAATGGTACAGTATAATAATAATAGTTATTATTATTAAAATTACTTTTGTTAGAGGAAAGTTATTCATAGACCATTGCTTTTAAAGCTTTTATTTTCAAACTATGAAAATTTGACTACATGTATGTCTTCTCTCCAGAAAAAGATGCACTATGGGTGTGTACACATACACTTATGCACAAACATGCAGAATTTGCATACAACTCTTAGCACTTAACAGAATCCTTTGACAGCCTGTCAAAACCCTTTAGGTTAAGATACCATAGGAGAGCTCCACTTAGGAAGTTCCACTTGAAGAGAAGAAAAATAAAAATTTAAAATTGATTTCAATATAAGCTTGTTGACTGGTGCAGAAATCATAGCTTGTAGAGAAGAAGTGGTCACACACACACACACACTAACAATAGCAGCCACACTGTCACCGACACCAGCTTTGAGGATCAGGTATGCTACCGCATGGACCAGAGCTACGACCAAAGGACCATCAGGCTTTTATCAAGAAGGATGCTGGTCAGGGGTTGGCATCAGTGAGATGTCCTATTGTCCCTGACCTCGGCGGGGGTAACTCGCCAGAGTTGTGGCTCCTGTATTTCTAAAAATGAGCCAAAACAGTAATATTTGCAGCCATTATTCAACTGAACTCTAAGACACTGTGGCCCAGGGAACCCTGAGAAGTAGATATCTTTGCTGCTGGATATGTACTCAGAGCAGTGATGTGCTTTTGTGTGCTTGTAGCTCCTCCACTGAAGGAAAACAAATAGGCATCAAAGTGTCGGGAGCTAGGCAGGGAGCTGGACTCTGACTCAACAGTGAACTTTATGAAGATGAAACTGGTAAGAAAATAGGATGCTTTTGCACCTGCACTGGTGAGACCTTTAGACAAAGATGCAGAGGAGACACTGAAAATATAACACATGCTCTGCACATAGGGTTTGATTTGGGGTGGGTGCGCACGCGCGCGCCTCTGTAGTCCCTTTCTTCACAGGAAGACTCACTCAGAATTCTCATACACTTCTTAGACGGAAGTAAGTTGCTATCACTAGTTGAAGGGAGTAAGAACACCTACCGCACTGCTTGGCCTGAGGCTCTCCATGAGAAGTGCTTCAGGATACAGGCGGAAACCTCTAGATTTGGTGGCTTCGAAGCCCCTGATAAACTGACCATGAATTTGGAAAAAGGTGAAGTTGATGTTACTTTGAATGACTTTACCTTTATAAAGACGTTCTCTTTGTACAAAGTGACAGATAATAATTACATGTATTTATGGGGCTCTGTGTAATGCACAAAATACTTCATGACTTCCCTTATAGATGGAATCTAAAAATGAACTTCAACACAGTGAAGAGAACCATGCTCCCCAGAGGCTGCGAGGCTGGGGTGTAAGGTCCCACACAGAGAGGAGAAGTCCCGGGATCTACTGCTCAATGACTACAGTGAAGACAGCTAGATATTCTCTATTGCAAAACTGCTAAGACAGTAGGTGGGCAATGTTCTCACTCCAAGAAAAAAAAAAAAAAAAAAAAAACCTTATCTGTTATTTAAAACTCTTTAGACACCAAGTCACAGATGCATGAATGGCTTTAAAAATCCCACCAGAAAAAACATACATACACAGGAAAAAGATAAAACTTGGAGATGGACTTGGGGTGCCTCCTGCACCCCCTTCCCCCGCCCCACGCATACCTCTTCATGGACTTGGGGGACAGCTCCTTCTCCACCTCCTTCACCGGCGTGCTGTAGGAGCCCACGGGGTACTCGCTGTCATCATCATACTCATGGTCCAGCAGCGTCCTCGCCCACGTTCCCATGTCGTAGGGGGGCAGCATCCCCCCAAACTCCGAGGGCAGGATCTCGGGGTGAATTAGTTGGTGTAGACTGTTCAGGTTGTTCCCGTGTAAGAATATCTAGCAATGCAAGGGGAGGGTGAAACAGAGGAGGCTGAACAGCACCCAAATGCCGAGGGGGGAGAAGTGGGGAGACAGTAACAGAACCGCGCGAGGGTTCCCATCCCTTAAAGCGCTTAAGCCTCTCACCTACTGCGTGAAGCCGGCAGGCCTGGTGGTCTCACCCTGACATTTCATATAAAAACCCTGAAGTTCAAAAATGTTCAGGAGTTTCAGCAAGGTCAGGCAGTTGTTGTGTTAAAGAGGTGAAACCATAAATTTGGTTTTCTGCCTCCTGGTCACAGGCTTGGGCAGAATCCGAGGTGCACACGGCTCTGCACACCGGGCCAGCGTTCGCTGGGGAGCTGAGGAAGCGCATGATGAAGGCCGCTAAGGCAGGCCCTGGTCACAGGGGACCCACCAATTCGAGCCCATCGAAGGTACTAAGCCCAAAGCTTTCACAGGATGGCTTTCTCTGTATCATCAATAAAGATAAGAATACTGGAGCCACTAAATTATGACTTTAGAATGCAAAGCTGGTGCTGTAAATAAATGAAGGAGATTAGCATCCTCCTAATGAGAGGCTGAATGAGGGTGAGGTCCCAAAGGGCAAGCGTTCTGTGAGGCTGCCAGCTCCCCCGGGCGTTTCCATGCTTACTGTGCAAGTGGAAAGCGGACTAGAGTACTGAAAATGTAACACTGCGTGTGAATGCTATCGCTGTGACTGTCTGCAGAGATCTTTCATATTAAACTAAATATTTATTCAGGCCACACACTCAAGATCTGTCTCTCCATCACTTGCTATCCCTTTTCTCCTCTTTTCACTTCACACTCAAAACTGCAGATCAGCCTTCTCTGATGCAGCATGGTGTCATCTCATAGGAATTTATGAACTATTTCCTGAAAAACTGTAAATTACAATAACTTGATAACTTCAAGGTGAACAGCCTGGCACACACCATCAGAAACCATGGAATTGAACACATAGGGAGGGGAAGAAAGATTAGTTAGCATCAAGTGAAATTAGCAGGATGGAGTCGCCAGCTCACAAACAAGTAACAACTGACAGGAGCGTAAACGCAGGTACCTGCAGGGTCCTGTGCAAATGTCAGAGCACACAGGGAGGTGTCACCCACGCCGTGCTGCCCACTGAGGCGGGAGATGCCGCCTGCCCAATGCGGGTGACCGAAAGCCTCACAGCTTCCCACGCTGCTGGGAGAGCACACGGCCGGGGTTTCCCTCTAGGAAAACACACACATGCGCACATGCTTACATTCTTCTCATCACACACAATACACACACTCCTAGATTTTTCTTGTCTGTTTCATACACACATGCACATACACTCACACACACTCTTCTAGATTCTTTTATCACACATATACACACTCCTAGATTCTTCTCTTTCTCTCTCACACACACACAGACACACACGCACACGCACACTTTCCTAGATTCTCATCATTAAAGATAATTTCCCTGGGAAAGTTAAGCTCCGGCACTTGGAACCCTTATTTTATTAGGCATTTAAACTTTTCTCACAAGGTCACGAAGTGCATCTGCTGTCCCGCCTGCTCTGGCTGCAGCACCTCACCACCTCCTCCTCCTCTTCCTCCCCCTCCCCCTCCTCCTCCTCCTCCTCCTCCTGCAGCTTCACGTCAGCCCCACCGTGCTTCCACGTGGCCTCACTGGGCCAACAGGATGCGTGTGACATCTGCTACCAGCCAGTGTCTGCACTGCCTCTGTCCCTGGTCCAGGGCGACAGCGCGGGCACCCTGCCCTGGAAGCCTCTCCCGCAGCGCAGGTTCCCGAGGGTCCTCCCTCGAGCGCTCTCTCAGGGTCTTTCCCATCCCAGAGGGAAGCCTGCTGCCCCCACGGCTGCCCAGACGTGGAAACCCACTCAGGGTTCTTTCCCCTCTCCACTTGCTGCCCTGTGTCTCTCCTCGCTGCAGAACTCTACGCCACGGCCAGAACATTCTGCTGCCGATTTTCCTAAACCCAGTCCGTGCAGTCTTTGCCTCCCATCCCTGCAAGGAAGCAGCTTTGGTCCTGATTCTTCTCATCGCTAAACTCAGAGCAGGGATCTCACCCTGCGTTTACCTTGAGCTCTCTGTAGCAATGGGCATACGGGGCGACTTTCTTCATGGAAATATTTCTTCCAGTATCAATCTGGTCAGAACAATTCCCGTTGGACTCAAAGCCCTCCGCTGCTTCTCCTCTCACCCCATCAGAAAACCCAGGCCCTCACAGGGCACGCAAAGCTGTCTACAGCCAGGCACACCGTACCTCTCCTGCCCCTACCGCCTTCCCCCAAGGTCACTCTGCTCCAGCTTTTCTGACTTGTCAAGGGTACCAGGCACGTCTGCCTATGGTACTGCCTGGTACTGTCTTCCCATTCAGCTCCTCAAAGCCAGCTCTGCTGCCTACTGAGATTCAGAGCAAACTGCTTAACCTTCTACGCCCAATTCTCCCATCTATGAAATGACACGAACACCAATACTCACCCCAAAGCACTGTCGTGAGGAATCGATGAGTTAATGCATGCAAAGGACTGCGAATGGAGTGTGATAGAGTGCACAGGACGTGCACACTCACTAGGGTAGTTTGAACCCTGGATACCCTGACCCTGCCTTCAGGAAACAAAGCTCCAACAAAGTGCTCACACTCTCTGAATTCTAAAACGTGAACATTTTGATTCTAGGTAAGAGAAACAACTTTTCATGTTAGTTATAATTGCTTACAGAGTTCCTCCTGCACTGCTGAGACACTATCAAAGTTCACACACAGTAACCCTGCTCACTAACATTTGACAGAAAAGTTGCTACATTCTGAGGCCTCTGAACACAAAGCATAATCTCAGTCACTGAGAGGCAGGGAGATTGTCTTCAGGTTAAGAAGGAAGCACATTTGGTACTGAACACAGCAGAGGGAGGTTTAAAAAAAGGCTCTCAATACGAGGCTGGGTGCCTGGAGTTTATGCATCAGCTCTGCCACTTTTCAGCTGTGCAGATGAGTAAGCAAGTTACGTATCCATCCTAAACCTTATTTCCCTCAGCTCTGAAATAGGAGGCAATGTTTACTAAATATACGTTTCAGAGCTGAGAGGCAAATAGTGGTCACCAAGGCTTGAGAAGAAAGAGCTGGGGAGCAGTCGGTCCATGGATGTTAAGTTAACAGTGTTATAAATAAAACAAGTCACGGTGAGACAACTATAGACAATGATAATGTACTACACATTTCCAGAAAAGGGAAAAGAGAAAGGAGTTTGAGTGTTTTCCCTTAAAGACATGGTAAATGTTGTAGGACATAGATATGCTTATCCTGATTGGAAAACTACATGGTGTATGCATGTTTTGGAAGAATAAACAAATCAATGACTGGTCAACTTTTAAAATAACATATTTTTCAGATCTGTTGCCAAGAGTAAATTAAATAATACACATTAAAATGCAGTTTGTAAATCTACATTTAATGATAATGATAAATAGGTTTAATATTTGCCACGTGCCATGCACTGTGATAAAGGCTTTAAATAAGTCATCTTAGGATCAGAAAGATGATTCTGTTGTACCATGAGTATCCTCAGTGTCAGCTGAAGGTGGATTTTAGAGATGTCCAAGTCATGTGTAACTTAAAGAAGTATTAGAATTTCTATATTTAACAGCTTTTTTTTTCATAATGTGTGATTGGTCCTGACTGTCATCACAGAATTAAACCAGACACCCCAAAATTCACTATAGCCATGAAATACATGTTACAAAATAACACCCACTTGTCAGCAAATAGTGCTAAACCTTTGCCTACTTGAAATTAGCTGCACCAATAATAACGTATTAATATGGCATAATTTCTTTTGCCTTTACACTATGGCTCTTATATAATAAATGTGCTAAAATGTCCCCCGCTTTTGTGGGAAAGGGCTTGTTTGCAGATATTCCACACACAGATAAACTATCAAGAATGAATGGGAAGGCTGCTCATAATCTTCAAATGTCTTTTATGGTAAATACTTCTATAACTGCACAGACTCACACTTTACCATGGCCAATATTATACACACAATATGCGTCCTAAGTCACTGAATGAAAAAGCAGAAGAGGGGCTGGGGATTTAGCTCAACGACAAAGCGCCTGCCTGGCAAGCGCAAGGTCGTGAGTTTGGTTCCTGGTACCGGAGGAAAACCAAAAAAAAAAAAAAAAAAGAAAAAGCAGAAGAGATTTATAAACGAAGAACATACCCTTTTCCGAGTCTTCTCCTTCAGGAAGGGCCGGATCACAGTGTACAGGGCATGGATGTACCATGGCTGGTTGACAAAGTGGATTCCTCCAAATCGTGCTGGGAAGCTATCCTAGGACCACAGGAGGGAACAGAAGTCAAGATCTGCTGTAACACACTGAGGGGCTGCAGGGAAGGCCACACGGTATGCAAAGCTGGGGTCCTCGGACTAGCATGTGATTATCATCTGTGCCGTTAAGGGGAAGAAGAGAAACCAAATCCTCCACGAGAATAGACCGCTGGCAAGAACCTCTGCGTATTCCTAAGTGCTGCATTTTAGGCTTGCAAAATGCTAAGTCATTACAGTCCCAGAAACATAAATAAAAAGATATTAGAGATTTGTCAAATAATGATTGTATGTTGCCCAAATGTTTTATTAAAATTATTTATATTAACGATATTTAAATGAAAATGCTTTATTAAATTTAAATGCAGTCACGTATAACATGAATGTCACCAGATATCGAAACTCATTTTATTCGTTTTAGCTATTATCTATAAACAACTGTAAACATACTCCTTTATTTCAACTATAAAAAAAAGAACTCACGCTTAAGCAAAACGGAAACCTACAGTTGTAGCACAGGAAGTCTGAGGACATCTCCTGGTTAAATGAAAGTCAAACCCCTCTAGGCTCAACCCGCTGGCGGAAAGTGGAGCTCAGCTAGGAAGCTGCCTCTGCCTCGCGTGCGCTTGCATCTGAAGCACGAATGAGTCTGACGCTCAGCCCTTCCCGCGATAGGAAGGGGATCCTTAAACCAAACGAATTTGGGTTCTACCTAAGACATCAACAGGAACAAATGAAGAAAGGTGAATGCCAAGGAACTGGAGGTGTGTTGGTTTTCAATTTAAATTTTCTCTTGAATCCAAATTCTCCGGTCATCACATGCACGTCATGACTCTACTGAGATCATTACTCAAGATTGACAACATGTCTGGATTCAGACCTGCCTAGCAGAATAATTCACACACTTCTGGGTGTGTCTCTGTCGTGGTTCCAGAAGTGATTGGCAGGCAGGCCACCCAACTGGAAGAGGAAGAACCACCCGACTGTGGGCCAGCACCCAATAGGCTTGCAGCCCCGGCAGAACGCAGGTGCAGGAGGAAGTCGCGTGTACTTGTAAACGCACCGTTCAGCTTGAGCGCTGACCCCGGCTTCTGCGGCCTTTCTGCACAGACTCGCACCCGCGGCTCTCCAGGGAGTTTCCAGGCCGGAATCTCAGGCCGGAGATGCATCCTGCAGTCTTGCTCTGTGGCTCCAGCCTTAGACCGAGCAGCCGCTGGGTCTTCTGCAGCTGTCGGCGGCCACCGGGACGCTCCGGCCGCTGATGCTGTGAGCTACCTACCACCCACTCCGTACGCAAAACAGTGTCTATGTGTGTGATAATCCACAGAGGCGCCGACTCTGTTCCTTCGGAGGGCCCTAACCCACACACCTATTAAAACAGCACTTTTACTTCTTATACTTTAGGAGTTGATGAAGTTTTTTCCCAAAAGTAATTTTTTTCTCTAAAAAAGTGTGTAGATTGTAATAGCTAAAGATAAAACGTGTCTCCTTTTACATCAGTCTCATTTTTATAAACATGTACTTTTCATTCAGCAGGTTTCAAAATTAAAAATGAGCCATATACAAATTCAAACACGGAATTTTTAAGTCATAAAATTTTTATACTTAAAAGAAGTTGTGTACCTATCAACAATGAAGGGAACGCTAAAGCAGACACCGGGGTGACCTCCACTTGGACTAAGAAACTGAACCTGCTTGCTAACTTTGAAGTTGGCTTCTGGCTACATATTATTTCATCTGCTTTCATATTTTAGAATCTACTATCCTTCCTTTGCTTGTATTTTATATTACAGATATTATAAATATGTAAATACTCTATGTGTTATATTTTATATACTTCACTTGTATTTGTGTAAATGTGTATTTTTAACACATACTATCAATTTTTAAATAGCGTTTATGAAAATATCACCGTAGTATATGTATTCTGTTCTCCTAGAACATGGTTCTGAGGTTCACCCTTGGCAGATTCTGTATGTTGTGTGTAGCTATAGTCCACTGTCCACTGTGACTTGGTGTGGCTTTAATAACCCCTTTGCTACCCATGACTCCAGGGTATATTCAAACATCACATATCCAGTTATTGAATAATAGTTATATTATTCCAATATAACTATGACACGAGAACAGTCTGAAATAACCAGGGAGGCTGGGACCGTCATCATTTTAGTAATACTGATACTGTTATTTCTCCAGCTGGTTAACAGAGCGGCCGGTTTCCTGGCCAGCTGCCGCTTTCCCTCACCTTTCCCTACGTGGGGAGCACCTGGAGGAACACAGGCTGCCCTCCGGTCCTCACTGTGTCCTCGATGTGGACACAGGCCCAGTCCCTGCTCCCGAGCCTCCCACACTCCAAGCCGCCGTCAGCCTCGAGCTCTAGGTCCCCGCCCTGGCTCTGTGTGTGCTCGTCTCAGGGGACTCAGCCCCCCACCCTGAGAGTTCAGTGATAAACTGCGAAGTATTTTTCCACGATGCATTCAGCTACTCACAGCTTTGTGGCAGGTGGAGCTTCAAGAACTTTTAACTAGATGCACTGCTTCAAGCAGAACTAGTTAATATGCTTCTAAACTATACTTTTTCCTCTAATTTTTTCTAGTATATGGCTGTGATACAGCATAAATACATCCACCACGGGTGGATATGCAATGGGTTCACATGCATATCCAACCTTGACCCTTTGCAGTCCCCTGCTGCTCCGGGCCCTCCCACCTCCCCATCCCCAGATGTACCCCCACGGGAGCGTCTGCTCTCTCGGACAGAACTGAAGGAGCACCAGCTATCAGAGCTGTGAAGCCAAGGGTCTTGGTGATTCTTGAACTCTAAGACTCACGAAGGATGCACTGCTCCCCCTGTGAAAATCCCATGTGCACCCTCACAATCACTTAACACAACGCTGGGTATTCTTGGATTCACTGTCCCATACCCCATGACTTGATTCACACCACGTCACAGCTGAGGCAGTGGGAAGGAGCAGAGCAAGAGCTCTCAATGAGATCAAGCTTAAAATTCCTTTATAATCCACCACTCAGACACCAAAGACTACAACAAAAGCATACTCATTGATTCCTTTTAGCTCCTCCGATCATGCTCATTTCTAACCATGCTTCAAATCCTGCCATTACATCCCACCAGGCTGCTGTGCATTTTCACCTTCAGCAAAATGCCCCTGTGAAGAAAAACAAGCCCAAGCTCAGCACCTCCACCCCAGGTCACTGCCCTGCACCGCCTACATGGCTCAGGCACTTTTGTCTCCCTCGCCCCAGCACGGCCCTCTCTCCTGTGAGCTCCTTCTAAACCCTTAAGGCTTCAGGCAGGCACCCCATCCCCACAAAGCTCTTCTTCCACTTCCTCCCGCTCACACACTGAAGCCTGGTCTCTGCACCACCAGTGCCAGACCCATGTCCACACTTGCTGCAAGGCCCTGAGATGTCTCTTTACCTGCAAGACCACACTGCGGGCTACGTGCAGAGCTGCATGCTCCATGTTGCCTGTCCCTGCTGAGCCTGGAATCCACTTCCACTCAAGTCGTGCCCCAGCGTACAGGGCAGGGAGGGGAGGTCAAACGTGCATTTCGTACCTAGAAATCTGAACGGAGGAACTGTGCCAAGGATGTGCACCTAAGCAAGGTTAAAGGACCACAAGGGGCAGCTGCCACCCTCTTGCTGCAGTCAGCAGCTGTCAGGAAGCTCTTGAGAGGACAGCGTGTGAGCAGCAGTGTGGACTCCCCCTCCCACTCCCGGTATGCCACGTGGTGAGTAGAGTCTCAAGGACAGCACAGCAAAGGTGGACACAGCAGCTTCCGATGCCCAGGTGCAGGACACGACCCCGAAGCCAGGAGCTCCACAGCTCCCCTCCACCCCAGTGGAGCCAGCTCTTCCTGTGAGGTGCTAAGCACTCGGTCCCCGGGACACCTCTCTTTTTAGGTGAACCATCCAGAGAAATGTCTGTTTTGTGCCCTGAACTGAGCCAGACTGTGTCTGATTCATCCTTATATTCTCAGTATCTTGAAAATGTGTGTGTGTGTGCACGTGCGTGTGCACGCAGGTGTGCATCCCAGAGCACAGCTAGGTGAATTCCACTGCATGGAATGGGTTTTGACGTTTACTGTTTAGCTAAGTTATTTATCTTCTTGTGCCACAATTTCCTTATCTGTGGGAACAACATGCAATAAGAATGCTGCTATTTGGCAGGGTGTGACGTGGCACACACCTCCTTGAGACAGGGCCACCACACTCGCTGTCCACCCTGCCTGGCAACTGCGGGAATGATCATGGAGGCTATCACGTAGTGTGGTTTGGTGGCAGTGATTGGGCTCTGAATAGCACAGCCTAGAACAGACTAACCACACGCAAGATGCTAACCAGTGACTGCTGGCTGCACGCTCTTCAGCGGACACCGTGACGTGGAAATGCCCTGCAATCAGCGAGAGCCCTGCAGGATGGACGAAGACAGCTGACTGGACTTCTACCCTGCAGGAGCTCTGCTGGCCTGCCCACACCCGCTCATCGCTCTCCGTGAGCAGAATGCAGACTGTCTTGCCCAAATGATTCAGGGGCTGCAGAGCTGGCCCGACCAGTCCCAGCGAAGTTCAGCTCCTCTCCCAGCCTCTCCTGACAGCTCTCGCACGAATGCCCTCCTTGGGAGGAGAGAACTCAGAAGCACCTCCGGCATAAAGCACAGGAGCGTCAAAGGGGGCAATGCGTGACACTCATGGGCGGACCAGCACGGTGAATCCCCCAATTTCCACAATTAGTGTGCATTAATAATTATGCTTAAGAGCAGACTGCTATTGCAAATAACTATAAAATAAGAATCAAAGAACGCCCTTTATTTTCTCCTTCTTGGTACTACAGATACCAAAAATGGGATCAATACATTCATATCTATCATTACTTACCCACATATATATAGATACATATGAATTATTATTTACTTTTAGAAAAAATGTTTGCCTCAAGTAGCTATTAAAGAAGAAAAACTGAAGAGTGCACTATTGGTATATCAGT